ACTTGTAATCCATTTTTTTGCATTGTTGACCCAGTCCATGATCTCTGTGCCCTGCTCACATTTCAGAACTGACAGGTAGCTGCTGTCAGTTGTAGACAAGCTGACCTTTGAAGAAGGCGCAGTCATCTGTTACCATTCATTCTTGAAATTCTAGTTTGGACATATAATGGGTTTCATCTGTCCTAAGGGCACACTCTAAAAACAAATGCCTTGGCTCAACAAAGAAAATCAACGCAACAGTTTGCATCGATGTTTATTGAGTCAAGACAACTTCTAATGAAATTGTGTTAAAGCAACAAAGTTATTTGAGTTAGGAGAGAAGGTTTTTATTCTAATCAGGTGTTTTTTTACTTACTTAATAATTGGTAGCATAAACACAAGTTTTGAAGTTGATTACTCAAAAGATTAAGTTGTTCCAACTAGTTTTACCACATGATTTAAAAATATTTTTAAATTGTATGTACTTAATTACCCTCATTCGGGATATACGTTTTTAAGTTGATTACTCCAAAAATTAAGTTGTTCCATCTTGTTTTAACGTATGATTTAAAAGGAATTTTAAGTTGTATGTACTTAATTACCATCATTGTGAACACACGTTTTTAAGTTGACAACCATTTATAAATTAAGTTGCTCCAAATATATTGTATTCAATAGTTTTTAGTTTTTTTTCTTAGCTTTTTCATGTTTTTGCCTTTTTTAAAGAAAGAAATGAATTGATTCCACAACAAAAATATTAGGCAATTCCCTTTTTATTTTGAACTGCAGTTGTTTATTTCAACACATGATGTTTCAATCAGGAGAGAATTCATTTAGTTTGAACATTTATTGACACATGCCATATGATAAGGTGCATGAACACCTGAAATCACAGCTGACTGCAGGAGAGAGGAGAACCATTTTATAGTTTGGCTGCAGCATGTTGATTGGCTGCTGGAGAATGAGGTGAAATGTAATAGGTTAAAGAGAACGCCTGTGATGAGCTGATTATATGCAGCTGCGGAGTGAATGTATATACACCCAGTCCTCCTGAAAGAACTTGCGCTGAGCTTCATTTAAATCTTGAAAAACAAGATAAATAACACAAATTTAAATTGCCCCACAAATAATAAATAAAAAACACATTAGCCATATTACCATGGGAAATGGGGACACAGCAAATAAATGCTGCCATCACGTCAAAGTTAGAGGCCTTTGCATATTTAAAACCAGTGCCAAATATGTCAAATCTTTAAAGTTTTTGTAAAACTACAGTAACAAACTCTCAATGGCCACCAATCTGCAGATCACACACATCAATTTTACAAAAGATGTAACAAAGATGTTTACACTGCCGACAGTCATTATTTCAAACAGTATGAACAAATTTAACGCAGAATACTTGCTCATTCATTTGTTTCCCTCGAGCACGATGGTTGCCATCGTATGGTCAGATCCTGGGGTGGACCGGTCACTGATGATGGCAATATTCATGTATTTTTGAAGCACATTAAATAATAGGTTAGCGCATAAGAGATAATGAATGAAGTAATTGCATACTTTTTAAACTGTCCGTCTTGGCGAATTCAGAGCCATTATTACCAGCTGCTAAAGCAACGCTGGTATTGTTTTCACCTATTGAGTCTGCATGTGTGTGTCATCATGGCAATGATATAGAGGTGGTTTTGAGTACTTTGCCTTTAAATGCAGGTGGACAGATTTTGTCAATCACAACCGTGCAAGTTTTAGTGTATCTTCTCATCTTTTTTGCTTTTGTCCTGTGTTTTTAAACTGGGCCCGTGGACTTTATTTTATTTCAAGATTTTGAATTACGTCGCTAAACTCCTTGAAAAGGTCCTCTTCCTTTTCTCCAAGGTACACGACAAGGCAGTGGATGGCTATAGTTCTCTGCGTACTTCAATTGTATTGTGCTATTTTTGAAAAAGGAAAAAAAGAAATTACCTAAATTAATATATTCTGGGTGACATGCCAACAACTTGCAATTCAATGATAACTCTAAATAACGATCCTACCTCAAGAAGCATGTCCTTGATCTGCTTCACCGAGATTCATTTTTAATAAAAAGCGATATCACAATAGTAACCAAAGTATTTTTGCTCTCACAGTAGCCTCTACTACTTTGTATCTTCTCACAGAACTATTCACAGTTCAAAGGCTGCTAATTTTGGTCAAACAGCAATTTGCCTAATACAGTGCGACCACAAGGCTATCTACTGTATTTGAATGACAAAAGATGACACTCACCTTAAAATGTCCTTTGTATTTCTATTTGTCTTAACTGTCGGAACTTGTCCAGGCATGTTAAGTGGGAGTGGACTTGAAATCCTTAACTCAAGGTTCAGAACAATGAAGTTATCAAGCCAATTGTAGTACCACAACTTGAATTTTGTTTTAAGTCAATTAACGCAGAAATCAGAGTTCAAATTACACACAATATTAAGTTGATGTAATTACCAACATTATTACATCAACACAACTTATAAATTAATGTTTGAAACTTAAAATGTTTATCTAAATCAATTAACTCATATTTTTATCTTGCAACCAAGTATTTAATTAAGTGGAGGTGAAAGGTCGCCTGAATTCGTTTTTAGAGTGCATGACACCTGCTCAGCCTCGTCCGTCAATTTTTGTCCGTGTGTTTCCTAAATAGAGATTATTTTAGCTTGGCTATCTTTGAGTATTTCTACTTAGTCAGCCCAATGTTGGAGGACTTTCTAGACATATACTGAATAACAAACATAACCTACCGCCGTTCTTTTCTGTTTTCTTAACGAGGGGGGACTTCAGAGCGAGACCCTCTCGCTAAGACGCGGAGAGAGATTTAAGAAGAAGAGGTTGGAGGGTACAGTTGACTTTAGGGAGATGCTTAAAATGCACACCGTGTAAATGCCTCTTAACAGCTCAGGAATGAGGATGATGGTGGGGTAGCCTTATGAGCGAGTGTGGGTATGAACAAATGCAAATGAATGCAAATGAGGTGTCACTGATGTCAAGTAGGATTTTTAAAGTTAGGTATGTGTGTTTATTCCTTACATGGGCCTTATACATATCTGTTGTATTTGGTCATCATCAACGTTAATGATTTATATGAAAATTCCAGTTGCAATTCATCTGTAGTCATGCCTTCAAACATAGAGCCTACATGCTACGTGTGCTACATTTGGTATCGTATTTCAAAGGTATAATTGTGATCTAATCGTATTCTGTGCACATCCACCCACGTGAAAAGTGAAATGACAGTGACTGAGATTTAATGCTGAGAGCTCAAATCAAATCTTCTCTCCATCCTCCCCGTCCCTGTGTCTGAATATCAGCGCACGCTCCAGGCGAAAGCATGAAGGAGTCCTCTGAGAGAAACATAAACGCTCACACATACATACACAGCACACTTTAAAAACAGTTTCAGTGTTGTAGCATCGTGGACAAAGGGAAAGGGATGTGATAGAAAAAGGTATTAAAGTCTAGTTTGCTGCCCAACAAGAGCGTTCAATCTTAAAGAGCATTTTTCTCATGCAAGGTATTTTTTCCTGTAGTCGTTTATCAACTTCTAACCAGTTTTTGGCATGAGAAACACCCAAACACTAACAACAACAACATTATATACATGATCAGCTAATCATCAGCTCATTGATCAGTCAGCTGTTGTGCAGTTATTTTCCAGACACGGCTGGTTTGATTTCTGGTCAAAGGTTGTTGAGAGCCATTATGAATCAACCGATTGGCCAAATCAGTGAGCTGATGGCGACGAATGCCACAAATAGCCAAAGAGTTGGATGTTTGATGCTCAGTGGGATTATCCAAACTACACAATGTGTGACAAAGATGATAGAAGATGAATAGAAGTTAGTTCAAGAGGATGCACTACGATGCAGTAGAAGGGGATGCTAAAGAGACAGGAAGACAAGAACGTCCCTCACTGGACAGTTCTACAAAACCCTAGAATAAATTAATTATTGAAGACCAATGCTAACATTTATATAACTCTAGCTTTTTTTACAAGGTATTTTTAGGACAGAGGGCCTTTTTTTGGAGATTTTAGAGTTGAAAGGGGGAGACAGAGGGGAGGACTTGCCTGAAATGTTCGGCCGGACAGGATTCGAAGTGGCTTACTAGGCGGCGGTGACCTCAGTAGGCTGCCAGCTGTAACCACTGAGCTATCCTGCGGCCTGCGATTCTTGCTTTTCAAAACCAAACTGGTTATGGCAAATGGCTTAGGTATGGTTCAGATTAGGCAAAAAAGGCCATATTTTATGTGACACTAGGAGGCTTTGCAACGTTTCACAAACGGTGTTCTACGAGAGCCCCATTTGTCCCTCAGAAGAAAGGCATACCATATCCTGTATTGACAATGAATGTTGGCATTCGACATAATTGGTGAAGAACGGAATCGTCTAATATTGATGTTTTCCCAAATGATGTTGGGATGGGATAGCATTTGCTTCAATCATGCAGTATGTTGTTACTGAGCAGTTCAGCTGTTGGTAAAGGCCACAACACAAAAAAACTGCACTTGCACATGGTTTTTCTTTGGCTCTAATACCTAGGAGGGAAAGTTTGGAAGATACGTCATGTGGTAGCTGGGAGGAAAGGGTTGATCCGCCCTTCGTGCCCCTTTTGCAGAAGCCTTGTGGTGAAATAAAAAGATCCGGATAAACACAGGCCCTTTGAAGTGGCGTTGAGCTGAAAACAGCCTCCAACCACCAAACCACTAAATGGCCCAGCCCGACAGCGTGATATACTACAATGCCATTTCCATATGATGCCTGCTCCTAGTAGGCAAATATATGTTCAGGCTGCTTGGAGCTCAGAGTGCAAAAACAACGTGGAAACACTGATTTGAATACAGAGATGAAATGAAAGAACTGATAATGAGAGAACGTGTGTGATTGGGGTTGGTTTTAGTAAAGGCTTTGTTTCAAATTCATATTTCCCTCTTCTTTTTTTTTGGTTTCATGGCACTGTCTTCCTCACTAACCAAGACTGTTTCTGTGTTTTAGGAAGAAGAGATGCCAGAGGTAGAGATAGACATAGATGAGCTGTTGGATGTCACCAGTGACGACGAGAGGGCCACCAAACTACAGGTATAGGGATGGGGATTGATTGTCTTATGTCTCTTTTATGTTTTATGTCTATTGTACCTATATCTATTTTTAGCTAACCTCATTGTAATATACTCTACTAATGTAATGGAAATGTATTGTAATGTATAGCAACCCACTTTCACGCAGTCAGTCTGTCAGTTACATTTAGCTTTTCTTCCTGTTTCAACACACCTGAAGTACTAGACAGTCAGAATCCTACAACCAAATTGTCTTTGAAGGCAGCAGCAAAATCCTGCTCTTAAGGGAAACTTGTCATGTGACTTATTTGCATGCTGGTCTATTGAGTCTTCTATCAGTGAAAAAATCGATATAGCTGCCTTTTGTACTTAGTTGTATTTCTCGCTGTATGATTCTTCATGCTGGTGTATTCAAATACATTCTGGTTGTTTGATTCTGACTGACAGGTACCATAGCCCAACAACATGCTCACCAACCACTTAGAAAGCCGATGTAGAGAGGGTGGTGAATGAAAAGTCTGAGAGCTGTCACTCTTGTTCAATGTTTTCCTTTTCTTCCTTTTGCACAGGTATCGTTAATAGACTGCTACAAACCAACAGGGGTGAGTATGTTCAGTGTGTCTATCACACAATTTCCACTATCATCCTGACATAAATAAAACAAAGACTAAAATTGAAGAGACATTGCTTAACATTACATATTTTTCAGCAGCTTAAACACTGTTAGCAAAATAGTACTGTGTGCAAACACACCAAATTGCTTATTATTTAATGAATTGGATTATGTTAAGTGTTTGTTTGTTTGTGTGTGTGTGTCTGTGTGTGAGAAGAGGTGTTACATGTTAGGGTTAGGGTGAAAAAAGGTTAAGCTATTTTGGTGATTACAGGTAGCGCAGACCAATCACATTACCTCTACATGCGGCAATCTTGTTCAGCCTAGACTCCATCTTTCACTTGCGTGTTTGTGTGTGTGCGGCATTAGGTCAAACTGCAACAACCACTTCAAGGTCACTATAGAAAGCCTCTCAAAGTGTCAAACCAGTGTCACACTTACACACACACATTGTAATCCCTTGACAATGGAGTAGCACATATGCCATTTTGAACACAATCCCCAAAAGAAGGCATCAGCTGGGGATAAACAGTGAAAGACAGAAGCAGAAATGTGACAAAAGTAGAAAGTGATGGAGGGAGGTGGAAAGAAAAAAAGAGAGCAGTGTTAGAAAAAGGTGTACTGGGAAAAATAACAGAGAGAGACACAGAGACACAGACTCTCTCTCTCCACACCGTCACCCTATCATGGATCTGCTTCTGCTCTACTAAATTTGAAAACCAGCCTGCTAGTCTAATTTTGTCCGAAGGGTCATTCTGCCTACCAGCACCTTTAAGCTGTTAGGTAGAATATTTGCTTATACATTAAAAAGACCAGCAGTCTCACTGTTTCCACTCTTTATGCTATTCTACGCTAACAAGCTGCTCTAGCTTCAGTGCGGAGTCGTGAGTGGTATCAATCTTCTCGTCCAATTTATTGACAAGAAAGCCAAGGAGTTGACTTCAAAAAATGTAGCTATTTAAAAATAAAAACCTTTGCTGATAATTGATGTACTCGTATTTAAAGGAAGGACATGTTTGCCAACTTTAGCTTGCAAACTATAATAGAAACTGAGGATAGATGGTAAATATCTAAAGATTCAAATCCTTATCTCCTTCTTTACTGTGAGCATGTAATAGTCCTGTTTGATCATTTTAATGCATATTTAACTATTAGGAATTCATTTTTGTATTGTATATTTCCTTTTGTGTGTGAATGACTGTTTTCTTCTCTCCCTTGCAGGACTTTGTCCGTGATCTGCTGGCCAGGATAAGGGGAATGAGAAAACTCAGTGCGCCAACCAAGAAGGGCCTATAATGGCTGTGAAATCCACCATAAACTGCGTCATCTCAGCTCCACCTACTTAACCCACTCAACATGGACTGTCATCACACAGAAATACTTAAACATAACGGCATTTGTAACTATTCTGCCATTTGCAAACATGCACCATAAACTCCATGCATATAGCACTTCATTTCACCATCACGTAGAATGACAAGGTGTATTATTATATTTAACTGTTGAAAAGGTACATAAGCAAAACAGAGCCGACGTGTTTAATATACAGCCACAATAAAATGTCAAGCCTTGGAACATGCCACAACTGCAACTGTGCTTTAACATGAACACAACCCAATTCCACATTTCAGAGCCATGTTACAAACTAATGCTGTAATCCCAACAGCCATACAGACTAAAAGCACCAACAAAAGGTGGCGTGGTAACAAAATGTTTGTACTGCAGTAGGTGTGCAATTAGCTGTAGCACTATGTAAACACAGTGCTTCGAGATTTGTCATTTTTTTTACTAAGGTGTTTTACTCTAACTTATACTGTATGTTGCCATTTATTGTTCATGTGATTTGAAATGTAGTTTTATTTTCAGCACAAGGCGTTAATACATCAGTTCTGTCCTTTTGTGATGTGTAAACTCTGGAAAGTGTGGGGAAGTTTTAGCAAGCAAGGCTAAAATATTGTGAAAATCATCAGCTTTTTACCCACTGTTCTAGTGTACATTTCCCAACAGAAAGGCATGATGGGTGTTGCAGTTCTTTGTGTGAGACTACAAAACCTGTATGATGGTAGCCTTTCACTTATAACGGTGTTGTCCGTTGCTCTTCTTCATCAGAATTCATATCAGTTGGTCATTTAGGTTTAAGCACAATGCTAATACATTGTTTTTTATTACACTCTGGTTCACTTAACTCTGCTAACTAATAGTGATTTGCCTTTAAGGAAATTCAGGATCCAATCACTCTTTTTCTCTACACAGAACCTTAACTACTGACAACCTAAAAGGCAATTATGGTTGAGTCATAACCTGAAAACAACTTGAAACTTTGACACTCGTCAGGTCCTGTAAGGGAAGGTGTGCCAAAACTGGGAGTATTACATCTTAAATGTTATACAGCATGGCAGCGTTTCCCTGGAGATTGTTTGTTGAGTTTGTAAACATCTGCGAGAGGGCGTAGATTCTTTTTTTGTTGTTGTTGATGTTTTTCCAGGTTGCAGAGAATAGGTTTTTATTGTATAATCCAAGGTTTAAGTGCTGGATTTAGTTATTTATTGTTGTCAATGTACACCAACACACTCACTAACCTGTACGCTCTGGTACAATCATGACTCTGTTTTGGGGTAGGGCCCGATTTCACTTCTGAGCAGTCGATCGTGTTTCCGAGCAGAGTGGCGCAGACCTGAATCTGCCGTATTATGCTGTAAACCCTCAGCTGCCAAAGACAAAGCAGGGCAATGTTTGGTTTTAACATAACACTTGCAAAGCACCCGTCTTGCATGCTAACAACAGAGAGAAAACACTGATGAAGAGAATAGATATTATGAACTTATAATCAAGCAAAAAATACTTTTATTGACTTAGATACCATGTCTGACTTTGTAGAACTTCTTGTGTTGAAACAACGTGACAGTCGCGTTGGAGAGAATCCAGGACATTTTAAAATGGTGCTGTTTTTAGATGTTCTTCCCAGGTTTTGGTTGTGTAAAACACATTTTCACTGTCGTTTGACGCCAGAGAAATGTGTCTGGGAGAAGTGTGTGTCTTTATTGATGGGGTGCGTTCCGTCTTTAGTGGCCTCCTCTTTGCTTTTCTTTCTATCAATTTGGACTGCATTGGTGTCCAACGCACTCGCATAGCAACGGTTGTTTTGTTTGAAAATGATCACTTGTTTCTGGATGAGTGAATTGAAGGCTAAGGTTAGAGGAAGCCATTATAAGCAACTGCGATGCATTTGGACTCATGTCGAGGTACTCCATAGGCTTTTCCCTGTTAAGAAACAGTTCAGGGGCAATAGGCTGATATTTTATAATTTATAGGATCTCATGTGGAGAGTATTTCGAAAGTGTTCCATACTAGAAAGCTTTACGTTTGCATGTATTTTTAAAGTCGCATGTAGAGGGGAACATTTTGTTGGCCCAAAGGTTTTTAATTTCACAAAATAAAACACTTTCCTTTTTATACCTTTTATTCTTATTATAATTATTAAGACGAAAATATTCAGTTTTTCAGCTGCAGTTTGTTTTTTCTGTACATCCACAATAAGCGTTCTTGTTTTTAAAATGTAATGTGGTGTGTGGTTTGTTTTTGCTGATAATAAAAATGCAGAAGGACTCTGTACTGTTTAAACAGATGCCTTCTCTGTGTGGATTCATTTAGTTTTTAAAGGGAAAGGAAGTGTGGTTTGTACTTTATTTAGAACAATAGTTTTCTTTGAGTTAGATGAAAAGGGCAACATCACTCCCATGTTTGTCCTGAAATGTGAGCCCAAGTTATAATGGGTTAGCTTAGCCTAGCCTAAAAACAAGAAACAGGCAGAAGAGCGGGCATCCCATGTAGGCCTTTAGTATTTACCGTAGCAGCCATATTTAGAAATACAACCCAAAACCCTTTGCTGGACGTTGACCCATCTCTCTCCCCATTTCCAGTGGATCTTTTTGTACTGCCAATAAATGCAAAAACTGACTAAATACTTGCTTAAATAAACAACAATAATCCATACAAATCCAAAAATCTCTAACTAGAAGGGCACAGATCTTTGCCAAGGAAAAGTAGTGGTATCAATGTAAAAGAAAAGGAAAAGCAATGTATGCATCCACCCCATGATTCTGATTCAATCCAACATTTCACAAGAAGTTCTTTATTGATCCCATTTTGTGACATTTTTTAAATGTGGGAAACAGATCTTGCTAGCTACTCCACCTTTCATTAGGTTTCTTAAAAATGAGCCCAGTAGTTTTCCCTTATCCTAAACAAACAAACAAACAAACCAGACTGTAAATATAACCTTCTTTGCAGCTGTAAAGAAGGACACTATTTAATTCCTTCACATTTCAGTCTTTATGCTAAGCTAGCTAATTTGACCAGCTGATGTGCTCGTGTGTGTGTGGTCCTCTGCATCTGTTTCTGCACAAGGGGCATATTAGAGCATCATGGCTGCCTATGTGTTCCTTCTCAGTGCCACCCGATGTGGCCGTGGTTTAGTAGGACAGCCCTGTCTGATCCTGTAAAGAACTCATCAGTGTATGACATTATTGCTCAATATGCGCATGAGTAGCCTTTCTCTGCAGCATGTCTAGCCCCATATGGACTGGCCTACTGTACATTGTTGCTAGGTAGAAAGTGGTCATGAATTTCAGATTTAACAGGGCCACTGTAAGAATAATCACAATGAAACTTTGAGTTGCATGATCACCGGTTTGTGAAGGAACAAGTCAACCTCACTGCAAATTAAAATCTCATGTAATTTAATTTCAAGGGAAATCACGTGGAAGAATATAGGCCAGTTTACACAGGAGCCAGACAGACAGAGAGAGACACACTTGGTGAACGCGCCACAGCGTTTATTGCCGCAGAGAACGTGCTAATGAATGTCTTATGATTCGCTGACACACATTCCCAAACAGCCGTGTGGATTTTACTGCAGGAAAAGCGAATTGCACACACTCAGGCTACTGCATGTCGGGAGGACCAGAGAAGCCAAAGCGGTGCGAGCGTAGTGCAACAAGGCGCCGTGTGCCTTTAAATTCCATGACCCACTTTTCACAGCTGGGGATGGCTGACAGGGAGCGCTCGTGCACGCTGCCTTGAATAATTGGGACTGCAAGGTGAATGCGAAGAGAATAGTAAAGGACTAGAGCACCCCCCCCCCCAACAGACCAACAGCGGGCCCGGGTTCAGTCAGCTGGCTGCACACTAGCAGATCTCACACCAGCTCAGTCACTGTCGGTCATGCTGCTTCAGAATACCAAAGCTGATGCGAATAGAGACAGTTGTTTGACAGAAGAGAGCTAATTGCATGACTGTATAAAATTACACTGGCAAGGGTGAAGAAACGTTATGGGCTGTTATTAGTTAATAGTCAAGCAATGCCATAGAAATACACCAGGCAGACCCTACTGTAAATGTCATATCTTCCCCATCCCCCTCCCTCATTCTGTCATCTTCTCTGTTGATCTTCTCCTCTGACTATATTTTTTCCCTTTTCCCTTGTGGATGCAGTGATCCATCATGCCAATACTTCAGAGACACAGAGAGAGAGGGAGAGGGGAACAGATTGAAAGTAGAAGGAAGACAGACACTGTAAATGACTGGGGCGTTAAAGAGAGACATGAGCGATTGGTTTGATACCAGCAGCAGAACCCCCCCCCCTGTTCCCTTCTGCTGGAAGATAGATCCCATCTCGTCTCCACTAGTGTGGGACCTCACCGCCGCATCAGACAAATGCTGGGCGGACGAGTCACGCTGTGATAGTCGGCTCATTCATTCACTTGACAGTCTACTCAGCCGTACAGCACCACTTACCCAGACAGAGTGAAGTAGAAGTGAGGGGGGGGATTCTTCTGTCACCCCCATGACACGGAACTGCGTTACACACTATAGGCCTACCTGCTGCATTGTGGGTAAGGAGGACATGGCACGAAGGACTCTCCTCCTTAGCTACAACAGGAACATTACTAGAAACAAAGTGCATTATAAACTGGGCCAGACCAAGTTACGCCAAATTGAGTAATTTCTAACGTTTTTGACACTTACTTAATATTTGATTCAATTTTAAGTACAAACGAATCCCTGGGAACAACCTCTGTTCCCTACTCTATAAATACTATATAACACGCATGCATGTGTTCTACTTACACAGCTTGCATATGTGTGTGTGGCAAAACCGGCACTACTTCTTGTGGGAAATCTATTTAATTTCACTACACTGAGCTCATTCATTTTTCCAGCACTCCAGACACTATGTTACAACTCTTGCACTTCAAGCATAAAATGATTTAGGTGTGTACAAGATCACACAGACT